TCCTCTCGGCCTCGGCCGACATCGCTGGTATAGAAGAGAAATACCAAGGGCAAAGAGATAAGAGGTTTGTTGCGTGGGCTCAAGCCACTAAGAAAGGGCAGAGGGTGCTCCAATTGGTAGAGCGGGCCCTTTGATGAACCGACCGAGCTCATCGTCAGTCGATGACGTTTAATAGATTCATTCCTCACTCGCCTCGTAAGCAAATAAGTCTTCTTTTACTTCAGGCTCTTTCTTCAGCTTAAAGCCCTCCTAGAGCGTACGCAGAGCTCGAATCGCCGGTTTGATCTATTAAGCTTAATCTTTCCACGCTTCTGCCATATGCGCCATCCGGAGGCTATGGTAGTGTAGAATAGCAGCTGTATAGTAGCCTTGTAGTGTGTGATAAAAAGTTCATAGAGAAAATTACTTGATCTAACAAAGACTTATCCCACTAAGTGTCTTTAGTCACTTTGTAAATGGCTCTAGAAAAGAGTGTAGCTCTTGTAGCTCCTGCTATTACTTGGGATAAAGATAATTAAGTTGAATATCGTTAGAATATCTGTCGTTGATAAATTTGTTGACCTCCTTCGCAGGCTAAGAGTAACATAGATCATATAGTACCATGAGTTCTATCTTATCGAATTGGGGGATTATAGGTCCGGCTGCCTGCACAAAAGCCTGTTAACGTTGCGTTGATGAGCGAATCCATACCACCAGATTGTGTCCCTCTTGCCCAGACCGTCATGCTCTCCGTGGGATAGGAGTGTCACCTGACGGATCGTCTCGTCGGAGGCATCCTCGTTCTTCCTAAATAAGAATTCCTGCACGGTCAGATTGATGGCATGCCCATGCCAGCGCAGCCGGCGGTAAGCTAGGTCAGAGTCGAAGGTGTTTGCGAGAGTGCGCAGCATAGTTTTGATGCTAAGGTAAAGAATCCAACCCCCCTTTCCCTCCCAAAATATGTCCGTGTTATGCAGCTTCTCCGGAAGCACAGCGTGATCCAAAATCACCAAAATGGCACACCTCGACGACACAGGGAAGAACCACCGTCTTCCCACTCAGTACAAAACCGTCCATCCGGTTCCAGCGTACATATTTGGAAGCTTTCAAGTGAGGTTAACGTCTGTTTTAGCTATGTTTGAAGTTATCCCTTGGCCGCTGGCTCTATCATATTAGACAGCGTTAGTAGTAACAAATAATGACTCAACCATTTTCATTAATAAAAAGATGATCTGGATTCTAATGAGGACTAAGTAGCTCCCTAAACTTTCAAGTAGAGACCCTTTTTCCATCAAACTCTTTCACTTAAACACAAATTGATTGGCAGTTGCAATAGAGAGTCTGGCTTCGAATAGTCATGCTTCGCTCCCTGCTCTTATTTGTTGAGCTCAGCCAAGCACTGCTGGGCAGAGGGCTCTGGCTCAGGCTCGCCCGGACCCTCGATGACGATGTAGCCTGGCTCTTCAACCTCAAGACGGCGATTCAAGATGAGATTAGCCGCGTAGCCGTCGCTGTTAGTCTTGGTCAGCTTCTTGAGGAATTCCGGCACGCCGTCGTCAATAATGACAACCTTGAAAAGGGGGTTGGGAGGTGGGCCCTTCTTGCTGCCGGCCACGGCTCTCTTGGTAAGCGAAGAGTACTGGGGGCACTTGTCCTTGAGACCTTGGGGCTCGGGGAGGTCGTCGCGGTACTCCCAAACGCCCTGTCCGCCAGCTTCCGTAGGAATGTAGTAAGCGCTGTTGGCCTGCATGAACCACCCATCCTCAAGCTCGCAGGATCTCACACCATCCTCGTCTTCGAACCAGCCCACTGCTTTAGGCGTCTTGGTGACGGCAGACTTCTTCACCGAGGAGTCGGGCTCTGTCTCAATGATGTTTGCCGTGGCCTTGACGGGGGTTCCATTCTCGTCCCGCAGCGCGTACGTAAAGGTGCAGTCTTCGTCGTACTTGTTGGCCTTGACAATTTCCGGCTTGTGCATCTTCAGGCCCTGGTTCTCGGGGCCAAATCCAGACGCAGACTTATAGTTGTCGTAGTCAAAGTCGAAAAACTGAGTGGCAACGCCTTGCAAGGGCTGGCAGGTGGGGAAAAGGCCAAGACTGTACTTTCCCTTCCTCTTGTTACCAGTGGCGCACTGCTCGTCGTAATAAGGGTTCAGGAAGCACTTTCCCTTGATGGTCCTGGTGTAAGTCCAGGTCACAATTCGGCAGATACTGTTCGGGGGGCAAACTTCCTCCCTTCGGACGTCCTGTCTGAATTCAGTCTGCTTGGAGGCTTCGCCGTTTTGGCCTTCTGAAGTGCGCTGATTGCCATAGACGGTCGCCGAGAGAGAGGCTGAGAAGACGCCAATTCCGGCTGACGCTTCAATCGTGGCAGAGCCGCCAATTTCCGTCGCCACTTCCTTGTTCCATCCAAGCCTCTCAACGTCAACCACTGCCGTAGATGTAGTGATTTCAATCTTCTTTTCCTTGTCTCCGGTGACCACATCAGGAGCATCAGAGTGGGGGTTGATATCCATATAAGATTGGAACCCATCTTGTTTGACAGTGTTGCGCAAATACAAGCACTTGCGCTCTTCTTCCTTCAAGCCATCCAGCTTGACAAGACTCTTGGAGGCTTCTAGTAGGCCCTCTGAGTAAGGAAGACCCTTGTTCAGGGCCCCCTGGATGCTCTTCTGATGACGTTGAACTTGGGGCGCGTTACGGATAAGTGCAGCCAAGTTGATGTCGCCCGATCCTTGTCGGGGAATGATGGCGCCGTGTGCGACGGCGGCAGAGAAGGACAGAGCTGTCCAGAGCATCATGTTGACCATGGTTGTTGAAGATGGCTCCGAAAAGCAGTTGAGAAAGTAAAAAGCAGTTATGAAAGTAATAAGAGTTATATGTCCTAAGGAAGGAAACTTGAAAAAAGAGTAGTGAATCTGTCTGTATTGGAAACTGATTGCTTTGAGGATTCTTAGAAATTCCAAGGCGAGAAGCTTGGATATAAATACTCATCCAACTATACGTCTCCTGCAAGAGCATCATGCTACCGCATGGCTCTTTGTGGCAACCGAACTCAGCTCGCGGCATCGCCATTCGGCTGCGAAAGCACAAGAGTCATCTTTCTCGTAACCGCACTGCCGGGTCAACCACTTGCATTGGAATTAAAATTACCTATATTGATTGTCTGAAGCATTATTAGACTATATACTGGTACATTCAGTCGACGCAAGCGTTCGTGAGCTAATACCTTTATGGGTTTGATTGCCCCGAGTCATTCAGTTGGACGAGCAGACAAAAGCGGTCTGAACATGCTACTAGTCGTGTTACTAGTCATGCCAACTGCTAAGCATGAAACTAAGCCTCTGGGCAAAATACTGGAGATTATTGCTATATATGACTAGATTAATGACAGGATTTTTGCTACAATCTAGGATAGAAAGACACCAGCATTACCGCGATTCATCATGCGCGACTATATTGCCATTGTATTATTGCCTAAGCTATAACCCAGCGATCATGTACATACTCTTTGCCACTCTGCTAGAGTCTTTGCCGAGGTTGAATAGACAAATTATAGGCAACTATTAGAGTTATTTATAGCTCTACTACTAAAGATAGTGAAACATGTAGTCTAAGTTACTATATTTTGTTGCCTGACACGCTGGCAGCTGGCCTAATATGCGCATAATAGGCTGAAATTAAGCGGCGGGTCTGATAAGAATCGGGCTCGGTATTCAACGGATGTTGAACAAGTTGAAGTTGTGAAGAGAATCAAATGAGTATTTGTAGTCGTGTGTTTGCCGATTCGATTTCGTAAATCACACTTTGGCCTTTAGACTGCTACATTCTTTGCAAAGCAGCGAGAACCAGTTTGCGCCTGTTCTGGTCCAGAAACCTTTGTAAGTACTAGCTTAGCCATTTGTGGTTGCCTTCAAAGATTGATGGCTAACTACCTTTTTTAGTCTTGTTTCTACTTTCTTGAAACGAGGCTTGTGTAACTCCCTCTGAAATCATGGAGTTACCCAAGATTACACGTTTCCTATGGTGCTACCTTACTATCCTCTTGGCCTTTGGCCAAGTCTTGGTCGCGCAGCTGCCAAAGGAGGAGCCGGCAATCCCCAAGGATGGTCTTCAAATTCGGCTTGAACGTGAACTATTTGCCAAGCAGCAGTCAGTTGTCTACGCTAGTCATCTCGAATTTGACGTCGAGCCAAAGATATCGGATAGACAACTCTTGAAGATTGCCATCGATGCGTTCAAAGAGATGAGGCACATGGTTGATGAAAATAAGCTAGGAAAAAAGAAGATTCCAAACGTGATGACTACCCTCCTTGTTGGCAAAGAAATAATCTTCGCGTCGTCGGCAAAAGGCTCAAACGAGCCGATCAAGGAAGATAGTCAGGTACAAGACGACCTCACCGCTTGCGGCGAAGGTTCAAAAAACAAACACAAAAATGGCGGGAGGTGTGGTGAGGTTATGGCTTTCCACGAATACTATAAGAGTCGTGTTGATCCAAAGAAATTGGGCGAGGATAGCGGCGCTCGAATTGTGGCAATCGCATTCCCGAGGGATGCCGATCCGGCAACCGCGCAACCCGAAATTCTGGCCCCCTGTGGTAGCGGCGTATGTATTACCTCTTGCAGAAAGGACACTTCCAGGAAAAGATTACTAACAAGACTCAGGATAACTGGGGCTGCGACAGGCTTGTAAAAGGCCTCAATATATTGGATAATAACAAGGTTGCAGCGGATCAGGAAATGGAAGACTTTGATTACAAGACGCTGAGGAACGAAGGAAAGCTCAAGAGCATCAAAACCAAGTTTGAAGAGGGCAACGGGTTACCGCCCGCTGACAAGCCTGGCGGAGACAAGAAGAAAGGGCCGCCAAAGAACAAGTTAGCCCCCAGACCCAACCAAAAGCCGCCCACCCCGGCAGACACTGGAAATGCGGAAGACACGGGAGACTCTGAAGACAAAGAGGTCGATACCAGTGGCAAGAAAAAGGGACCGCCAAAGAACAATCTACCCCCCAGGCCACCAAAAGAATGGGTGGACACCCCACATGAGGTGGGAGATTCTGAAGACAAAGAAGTCGACACGAATAGAGAGAAAAAAGGGCCGCCAAAGAACAACTTGGCCCCAAGGCCGCCAAAGAAAAGGCCGTCCACCCCGGTAGAGTCGGGAGCCTCTGGAGACTCTGGAGACTCTGGAGACTCTGGAGACTCGGGAGACTCGGGAGACAAGGAAGTTGACCATGGAAAGAAGAAAACACCGCCTCATCGCAAGCCGCCGCCAAGACCACACCGCAGGTCAAGGGCCCCTGATCAGGATGGTGAAGAATCAGGCCACGAGGAACCGAGAGATACCGACAAGGTTGAATCCAGTGCTGGAAAGCGGCTATCAGATGAAACGCCTGGAAGACACAAGCCAAGTCGCTATTTCCGAGCGTAAAATCGCCCCTCTATAGTCACCTTGTATTCATCCATTCCATCTGGCTTGCGTCTTTGGGTATATGTGGATCGGGGCCTGGACTTGGCTAGTAGTTGTCGGTTAGTTTCTTGATCCTTGTAAGAACTCTTGAGTTTTGGCTAGATGATTTTACGTTTGAACTGTGATGAGCGATTACTGTAGTTTGCGTTTCCACTGAAATATCCTTGTTGCGAGTCAAGTTACGTAGGCCAATAGTCGTTGGTCAAGGCTGAGCATTGCAAGTATTATTCAAGGTATAGTTGCATGTAATATGTTCCCTAGTTTAACTAACATGCGGTGGGTACAGCCTTATGGCTTGTGGTTTGATGGTAATCCGAAACCGTCTGACTCAACGACATTCGCATGTTCCTGGAATGGTGCCGTGACACGTGAGGAAGATCAGTGCATTTGTACAGCGGGTTGCCGAATTTTCCTCAAGTTCCCACCACGGCCCCCGTGCCTCTCCATCTAATTTAGGCCAACTTCTGGAATGATTATCAGGGATAATGTACCTTGACCCGCTGATGCCCTAGTCTGGTCCAAGTTCTTTTTGCATTCCGCATAAAACTTGGGGGGCACTGGAACCCCAAAAGGCTTAGCTTCTGCCTATCGCGTACAGTATGTTCAAGTTGCCACGTCAGACTATTTTCAATGATGCTCTTACAACAGTCTTCACATATAGACCAAATCGGCCTCCTCAAGGTGCCTGGTTTTCGACTTGTCGTGCCCACCCGTCATCTTACCCGGAACAGGCGAGTTTGCAGCCTCTCTTGTCTCACAACTCCCTTCTATCTTATCAATCGGCACGGGGCCTAATCAAGTCAAGCAGCTCCGGTTAGACTTTTCTATTCCGACAGAGGACGTCAAAAGATGGCGGTGACGTCGCTCAAAGACTGGCCGAATGAGCTGCTCTTGTCTCTCTTGAATTTGCTACCGTTGACCGACCTGCTCTCCATGAGTAGGGTCAGCAAATCCATCTACGCTCTATCCCTACCTCTTATTTACTCGACTATCGAGACAACCTGGGTTTTAGGTACCATGCCGCCCGTTGTCCTGCTACTGAGAAGCCTTGTCGAGCGGCCCGAGCTGTCAGGCCACATTCGCAACCTACGTCTCGAGGGAAATGGAGTACAAGGTAGAACCGAACTCACGGAGCTGCCCGCATTCCCTATCGACGCGCCTCTACTTAGCAAAGCATCAAAGATCATAAAAGCTACTAAAGTGCCGTTTGTCGATCGTTGGATACACGAGTTGCAATCTGGCACCGTCGATGCTATCGTGGCACTGCTCCTGGCCATGCTGCCTAATTTAACGTCTCTCTTTCTTGGGCCTAACTTTACGGTTCGAAGCCGACTCTGGGGAGGCATGTTTCAATGCGCTCTTTGCAAGCCGCAACAGAATTATCAACTACCTGCATATAAAATCCTTCGACACGTCACGTCCAAGTTTAGGGCCAAAGAATACTACCATGATGACATTTGCAACGCGGCCGATGTTCTTCCCCTGTTCTATCTCCCGAGCATCGAGAATCTATCAGTATCTATTGATAACCCGGCTGAATTTACCTGGCCCGCTTCGCATGCGCCAGCTCCCTCGTCGATAGTCTCATTGGACATATACAGGCTGCGCGAATCCCGGTTGGAACCCGTCCTGTCCGTATTGAAGGGGCTCCAAAGACTGCATTGGCACTGGTTCTACCAGCCTGACCTTGACGAGGAGGTTAGCAAAGGCGTGGTACGACTTGACACGGCCGCTGCGGCACTTAACAAAGTTGCTGATACGCTCACCGACTTGACTATCAGTGCAATGACCCGCCCTGCGTACTCCGTTGGCGATTATGACCCTCCTCCGCTAGAAATCCAAGCATCGCTAGATGGCCTTTCCCGTCTGAGGAAGCTCAAGATATTAAGTCTCCCATGGGCCTTTTTGATTGGGATGGGCTTCTCGGAATCACCCACTAAGAGACTCCTAAGCGCACTTCCTCCAAGCCTTGAGGTGCTTCGGCTAACGGCAGACTTGGATGACCATGACGAGTGGGAGTGGGAAGAAGAGGACTCTGTGATAGACGCTATAAAGTTAGAGCTTGCGGGTCTATCCTCGTCGCGTCATCCTTCTTTACGTCGTATTATTCTGCCTATTCCTTTCGAGCATAGCGAAATAACCAAAGACCAGAAGGAGGAGCTACAAACAATTGGCGCAAGTGTAGGACTTGAGTTGAGATGGATTCAATAGTTGACAGATTGAAAACTATTAGCCACACCTCTAAGACTTGACCAAGTTTCTTCCTTAGACAAATAATTGAAGTCATATGGGAATCATGTATTCTACTTATGGAATTGAATTTTTGCCTTGATCTGGTCATGGAAATACTATTTTGAGTCGGTCATCCAACTCTGTCGAAATGTGGCTATTAGAACATAAAAACTAAGCTGCTGACCAGTGTGTCCAACAACAAAGCAAGGCAAAATTGACCCCATTACTTTACCTGGTTGGTAGATCGCTTTGCTTTCCTTGCTTTACTTGACTAAAAGGCCTTACTTTACTTGGTTGGTTGGCTTTGCCTGATTACTCGATGAATTTGGTAGGTTGCCCTTTCCCCTAACTGAAATACCCCAGCATACCGGATCGGAGCAGATGCTTTTGGCACGCAATGACTGCTACTGTATCTGAACCAACACGGTTCCGCTCATCTGTGATAATCCTTTTCGTCTGCGAAAAACCCGTTCACACTCCGCACTCATTGCCGGGCAGCTGAATAAGTCCAGCGCCATTTGGGACAATACGGGATAGCCTGTTGCATGGCGAATCCACCAGTCCAGCGGGTTTTCAACCTCTAGGTCCGCCTTATTCGTCCTGGCCATAAATTCATCGAGCTCAGAGGCCAGCTTAAAAGTAGGAGCACGCCAGCGTCAACAAATCTCACGAGATGGCTCTGTAGACAATGGCCCGGCACTTTTGACTCCGAGCCGGAATTTACCTGAAATAGCTGCGCGATCATCCGAACAGCGTCATGACTCCCATTTTCAGAATCTATCTCCGCCAGAGAGCACACACCCTGCAGCCACCTTGTCCCGAGACCAGAACGATGCAGAAGCCGCAACAATTCAGATTTTGATAAGCGATTTCGGTTGCTGCATCACCGCGACCGACATTCCCTGGGGCGATGAGTGGATCATAGGAGAAGCAGCAATGGCCACAGCCAACGGGGCGTGCGACGACGTCATACGGGGCAAACAGACCAGCAATGACAACACGAAGCCGCGCGCACCCAGAAGCGCCCCAACGGTCCACTAGTACAACACCAAACTATTCAGTAGGAGAAACTGAGCGGTACTACTCATCCCTTAGTCAACAATCTCGAGTACGACGCTGACCTCGTACTGCTTCTAGCTCACCGGTGGGACATTGGTGGACATGCCGGAAATGACACCAGATAGCATGCCTTTGGATCAGTCTTTGAACCAGACACCGATGAGCAAGGACGTGAGCAAGCCTTCAAGGCTAATTCATATAGCTGTTCGAAACGGCTCTCCCAGCATCCTCCGCAAACTGGTCGATGCTGGCGCCGATATCAACTCGCCCGACGAAAAAGGTAGCACACCTTTACATCTGGCTGTCCGTTTCCAGAGAGCGGCAATGGTTGACGTGCTCGCCGAGCAAGGCGTCAATCTCAATGCACTGAACGCGGCTGGTATGACGGCACTGAAAATGGCCGTGAGGTCAGGATATGAAGATATCGTTGACATGTTCTTGTCTTTTGGCGCACGCGTAACTTAGATGGTATACATGGCACTGTAGGCTTTCCAAGAGAGTATCACGGCTAGACAAAGTCAAGCGTCCTACTCTATACATATTCTGGAGAAAGTAGATATAGGAGGCTAACTAAAACTCTTAATACCTTAAAGACCAGTATAAAGATTAAATTTGGACAGCCTCGTCAGGTCAGCGCATACCGTGGCCATCATGTTCTGTCCATCCGCCTCGATAGCTAGCGCACAGATAATATCCGTAGTGAGGGACAGCAATCGAAATAAATCGTGGCTTTGAAGTGTTCTGCGGATAGTTTTTTTTTAATCCGCGAGAGCGGTCCAAGGATTTTTTTGTTTTTGTCCATTTCTCTTCGCGGCTGGCGCACACAGACGTCGCCAAGCTCCTGCTAGTGGACGCTGACCACTCAGCCCAGCGCATTTTAGCCGGTCAAGCGCTAGCCAGTAGATGCTATATCCCAGTACATACCGTATCCTAGTACATGGCGATCCCAGTACATGATGTGTACCAGTGCATGCGTTCCAGCCCTCGCTGTATGCTGGACTACAAGCACTAGTACACCAGATATACTAGCTCACAAATACCAGGCCTTTTTCTATCCTAGAATATATTT